CATGTAAAAAGATGACAAAAGCTTTCAGAGGCGATAAAAGCAGACGGCCCGAACTTAAAAACATTCTTGAAGACATGGACACCTGCAGTTTATATTCAAGTGCGGCCAGAAAATACGGTACTATATTTTATTGTTACTTGTACATATACATTTATATAATTATTAGAGCCCGACCGATATGGATTTTGTTGTGGCCGATATGAAACCGATATAATGGGAGTTGGAGCTGCCGATAGCCGATATAATCGCCGATATATTTAGTGATGTAAAAATTCACTGTAAATCTTGAATTGATTAAAAAAACTTAGGTTTGGCTCTGGTGGATTTTAAATTGGGTTTATTTAGGCAACATTTATTGTTATTCTGCCTCTTTACATCATATTTACATACAGTAGATTGGCCTAATGGCATTTTTGCATCACATTCTAGCTACTAGTGATGGGTATTCCAGTTTTTTTTTTTTTTTTTTTTTTTTTGGAGAACCGGCTCTTTTGGCTCGGCTCACTAAAGCAGCTGGCTCTTTCGGCTCCCAAGCGATTCTTGAGATTGTTTTGTTGCAAGCAGGACTAAACCAGAACTGAACCAGGACTGAGTGTCGGGACTCGGTTTCTATATCTCTCCTTCACTTGAGCCCAAGATTAGTCCTGGTTTATTCATTTTTATGCTGAACTGCAGCCAAATATGCACTTTTTTTTTTTTTATCCTGTGCACACGCAGATTTCTGAAAGCTTCGTTTTCAGCCGCTGCTGCTGTCAAACTACGGGTCTGCATGCGGCATGAAGAGAAAAAGTGAGAAAAAGAGAAAACACGGCTCCCAATAAGAAGCAGGCTCCCGTTGTTCGCTCTAAGAGCCGCTTCGATCGCGACCGACCCATAACTCCTAGCTAGTAAACTATCGCTATTAGCCTTTAGCTGTAAAAACGTGCACACCACGGTAATTAATTATATGCATAAATGTGGATCATTCACACGTCTATTCACAGCTCATTTACATATCAATGCTGGTCCGGTAGCAAATATACGGCCAATGTAGTCACTTTACAATAGACCAATAGAAAACAGCCTGTTTATGTGTGGGAGCTACAGCAGCTAATCGCTAACAAAACCTAAACTAGCTTCAAAGTCGATGTATTTCCAACACTCACCGCTCACACAGGCTCCTCCTCACATCACAAGTCTGCACTAATAAAAGTCCTTTTAATCCAGACTCAAACCGATTGTCCGTAAAAAAGAATATAATCTCAGTGTTGCGCACCGCTGCGGGTGTAAACAAGAGCACGTGAGTGAAGTGACGTCACTCTGGTGGTGTGTTCAGGGACAGTACGGACACAGACACAGACAAATTACACCGCAGATAAATACTGATGCGGAGCCACATATTAGGACATTTATCTGTCTGTAAATTGGATTAAATGAGAGTCTAAGCTTTATAACGAGGTATAACATGCCCACGTGAAATATCGGCCCATATCAGCAAGCATATCGGCCGATAGCCGATATGTCTCCAGGTGCCCATATTGGCCGATAATATCGGCCAGCCGATATATCGGTCGGGCTCTAATAATTATACCTTATTGCACCAGTCTCTTGCTATTTCTAAATTTGAACTTATTACAATTTATGTTTTTGCTCTTTGTTATGATAATATATTGTGATATGTGAGTTAATGTGTCCAAATAATTTCTCTTGTGGAAAGTTTGTCTAAGTCTAATTCTAATTGTAAGTCTAAGATATAATACATGATACATTTTACTGAACCATGTCTTGTGTGGTTGAGATTTTTTTTCATTTTGAGAAAAAACTGACAAACTACCTCACACATTTTAGCCCATATTACTCTATTTTCATGATGTGTTATAATGTTGTTTCCTCATCATTCCAAATCTTCACTAAAATCATTTGGATCATTTCAGTCTTTTTATTGCCCATCTATACCAAACTAAAGATGTTAACTTGAAAACTACCCCTTCATGACATCACAAGGTGGAATGGAGCTTTGGAGATGTAGACAAAAAAAAAAAAGAAAACAAACAAAAAAAAAGCAGTGTTACTCAAAATGTGTGAATGAAACAAAACACAAGTCCAGGTATGTTTTTGAGGAGATAAACAGCATTATAACATGTCTTAACGCTCACAAGAGTAAATTTTGCGAAAATCTTCAATGATCACAGGTACAAATAGACCTAGACTAGAATATTTTTTTCTTTTTCTCCATTGCATTTATACCCAAGGTCCCCACATTTTTTTTTTTATAACCTGTCCTATTCTGTATGGCATAATAAAAGTTAATTTATTTGCTTACAGATTTTATGAATAGCCAAGTCTATAAAACTCACATTCTGAGGTTTTCATTTATTTATTTTTTTTCTTTTTCAAGTGGGTCCAGACTCCTCAATTAGCCATCAGCAGCTGCTCTCTAACTTAATACCGCTCTTATCTGGCCCCAGTGAAAGGTCAAGTCTGTGGGGAGGGGAAGCTGAGTGGAGAGCTACTGGGTACTGGCTATGAGAACATGTGTGTAAAGCTTCAGATAATGAGAATGAAATTTTTTTATTGAAAATTGGGTTGAAGGTTGGCCATTTTGTGCTTCAAATCTCTTAATTCCTAATTGAGGTTAAGCGTGAATGAATTTTTCACAATGATTCTACTTGAAGCACTGTAGTTTTAAATAACAAATACAAGTCATCATGCTCTATTACAGTGATTACAATGCTGAGTGAGACTAATAAAATAACTTTTTCATCAACTTAATGTGAACCCAAAGGTCTGTCGAGTGTGCTCCAGTCAGATGAGGGATTTAGTAAATACGTGTTTTTGTCATTCATTAACAAAATCTTTTTGTTAAATGTTTGTTAGTTACACCTTTGAAACCGTCTGATGTTTACTTTAAATTCAGTTCAATTATTTAATAGCAGTAGTAGCAGCAGCAACAGTAGCAGCAGTAGTAGTAGTAGCAGCTGTATAGTAGTAATAGTAGTAGTAGTAGTAGTAGTGTAGTAGTAGTAGTAGTAGTAGTAGTAGTAGTGGCAGTAGTAGTAGTAGTAGTAGTAGTAGTAGTAGAAGTAGTAGTAGTAGTAGTAATAGTAGTCGTAGTAGCAGCAATATTAGTAGTAGTAGTAGTGGTAGTAGTAGTAGCAGTAGCAGCAATAGTAGTAGTAGTAGAAGTAGTAGTAGTAGCAGTAGTAGTAGCAGCAGTAGTAATAGTAGTAGTAGTAGTAGAAGCAGCAGCGGCAGCAGCAGCAGCAGCAGTAGTGATAGTACTAGTAGTAGTAGTAGTAGTAGTGGCAGTAGCAGCAGCAGTAGTAGTAGCAGTAGCAGTAGCAGTAGGAGTAGCAGTAGTGGCAGTAGCAGCAGTTGCAGTAGTAGTTGCAATAGCGGCAGTAGTGGCAGCAAACTTGTAGACTTGCCTTTTTTCTCACTGGTGCTAAACGGTGGCTAACAGTGCTGAGGCTGTTTGTGAACGCTGCTCTATCACACAAACATATACATTTTTTGGTATCACTTTATAATATCTACCCCTTAATTAGCCTTAAAAAAGCCTCAACAAACAATCGAAAATTATTAAATAGTTAAGAATGACAACTTAACAACTAATACCATAATTCTCAACACGTTAGTAGTAGTAGTTACGTTAAGTAGTTAAGCAAAAACATGAAACAATCTTAAAGGCACATTGTGTAACTTTTCTGGTGGAGGTTCTGTCAGTGGTTTTCTCCATCCATATTGCTTTGTATGGAATGTTTCATACTATGGTATTAAACCTTTCTATATTCACGGAGACCCAAGCAGACCAACTTACAGGTCAGATCCCAGAATCCACAGGTCAGAATGTCTGTTTTTCTAGGGATTTTTGAGCTATAAAACCACCTGTAATTGAATAAATGTAAGTTAGATCTGTTTAAAGTCATACTGTGGAACATTCCAGGCACAGCAATTACATATCCATAGAAACAAAGAGGTGACAGACCCCCAACCCAAGAAAGCTACATAGTGCATCTTTAATTTGGATCTTCACTACCTAAACCCAGCACCTGCTGCCATCATGAATCCGTGCTAGTGCAGCCTCTGAGTGAAATGGAGCTCAACAGTGACCGCCCACCCCCTGGTACTGGAAGAAAATTTCCAATTAATTTTATAATTTAATGTTCCAAAAAAATTAAAGTTTAAAAGCTTGCTCAGCTATGTGGTAACTAATGAACCCAAGACTCATGATTTTATTAAAAATCTATTTCTCAAACTTTATAAACCACTAAGTTCTAGAAACATTTTGCTGAATCTTGCATTATAAATGTGCTCTTTGGGCTTGAAAAACTTATAAAACCTCTATGTAAAAGTTTAGGCACAACCAAGTTCAGCTGTGATTGTAACGCAATCTACATACAGTTTCTTTAAAGATTTAAATAGTTGAAAATACTGTTCCACCTTGTGACATCATGTGGCAATTCAGGAAGTGCTCCATTTTGTTTTTAAACTCCATAAACCTTCACTAGAGTCATTTAGATAATTTCAGCCCTGGAATTGTCAATCTCTGCTGAACAAAAGATAAAAGTTAAAACTTCTTCAGGACATCATGCAAAAAATATATCTAGGTAAGTTAAAATGACTTAAATTAACAACCTTTTACCTGAGTATTTTTTATTATTTGAGTAGATTCAGCTTGATGTGTAAAATCATCTACCAATGGAACAAATGTGTTTTTCTTAATTCAAGCAACTTTAGATTTGATTTCTTATTTTAAGTGCAAAGAGTTGTTGTTTTTCTTATCTTAAGTGTAACAGGATGTATTTTCATAGTTCCAGTGGTCAATCATTTTACTTGTTAGGTGAAATTTACTCAAATCATGATAAACTTTCTTATTTCAAGTCATCTTAACTTGGCTAGATTTTAGGTTTTGCAGTGCAAGGTGGAACATTTTGAGCGTACTGTCTGGTTGTACTTCTTTCATGGCAGCAGATGATGTTGTCACAGTATGACTAAGTATTGAAGCAAAGCACCTGTACCTTCTGAGCACGGCGCTTATCTGCCCGCTGGTTCTGGTGGTAGATGCGGCTGAAGTTGGACACGATGACGGGCACAGGGAGAGCAATCACCAGGACCCCACTGAGAGAGCAGATGGAGCCGAAGATCTTCCCCGCGATCGTCTTGGGAACCATGTCTCCATACCTGAACAAAGAGAGGTGAGGTAACAACGATTAGTAATTGTTGATATATTGGTTTCAGGATCTATATCGTTCAATATCGATATTCGTTTCAATATCAGACTTGTCTTTTTCAACAGACTCAAGAGCGAAAATTGTAACAGAAGAGTGTTGTATGGCTGCATGTATACACAAACTAATTTTATGTTTAAAATTAAGTTTTTCATGTTTTTAAGCAAGTAAAAATCTCAAGCCAAGGTTCAACCATCTCAATTTGCCCAGTAGCACCCACTGAGCTTTATGACAGATTTTTATTTGTAGCCCTATATTACCCAGCAATTTTATTTTTTGTTGCCCAACCACATGCTGAGAATTTAAGACCCAGTTGTTAACATGGTCACTATCAGCACATCTTTATGATAATTGGGATGTCAAATGAAATGGCAGCTTTGGTTCCTGCCTCAGTCCAGCGTCTGTGCCGTGTTATTCAGATGTGGCTCATTTGATTTCACGGTGCGTGGAAGTACATCAGGTGGGCAAAGGGGAGTCAGAGCTGCTCAAATTGTCAATATGTCTTTCTATGGTAGAATGTTCATTAGTTATGGTGACATGGTGACACAATGTACACATTAGCTACCAAAAAAGTGTTTAGATCAGGGGTCTCAAACTCTGCATATGCATATATAAGATATAATATATTTTTATAGGCTACTATTGATCATAATTATTATAATACTATGTTATAATCATAATACTATATTATTGTATATATAATGCAAGACAGAGGCCATCATGAGGTTAAGAAAATAATATGCTAATTAATAAAAGTAATATTCATGATTTATTACAGGCTTTTAAGCAGTATTCTAAATCCTTATGTGTCTCTGTGTTATATTCAGTTCAGACATATTTTCAGTCAGAGCACCAGTGTCAATCTTTACTTCTACAAAGACACTTAGGCAACAAACCTTTAACCTTTGAGTAGATATTAAGTAATACAGTGTGATGGTAAACTACTTTCTCCCTCTCTCTCCCCATCTACTGTAGCTTTAGCTCAGGAAGCTGCTTCTCTGGACTGTCAGTCACTCTTGCCTGTTCTAAAGCTTCTTTTGACACAGTACACATGTGTTCTGTTTGTTTCTTGGTTGGAGTAAGTTTGAAAGTCCATGTAGAAGCGCCGTCTGCCCCTCTCATTCTGTCCTGCTATTTGTTTTTTGCCACTGCTGCCCTGGCAGCAGGAAAGTAGCTGAATTTGCACTACAGCCAATAATATATTATGGGAACTGTAGTTCAAATCTTATGCATTTATGCATTTTATTGGTGGGCCACCATCAACAAAAATTTTAAATTGTCCTGTGGGACAGTAGAAATTATCTTCGGTGCCTCATTTGGCCAGTGGGGCCGCAAGTTTGTGACCCCTGGTTTAGATGACTGAAAACTCAATAAAAAAAATACAAAAAGGAAGAATGGAAGAATCACCTGCTTGTCTCCCTGGAGATAGATACGTTTAATGCCATAGTGTGGAACATCCCAACTGAGCAATAATCTTTCCATGCAGACGAGCAAAAAAGTATTCACCAAACATGTTTTATCTATTAATATGTCATTTTGGAAGTGCACCTGATAGGATATTGTGTATGAATCTTTGTACTGTTTAACTAGTGAAGAGTCTATTCTTGAATACCAGCTCCAATGATCCCCTGGCTTGAAAGTCCCAGCTCAAGTGTCCCATTCTCCCCTTCATAATCCTTATTTACAAATTTTCTGAACACGTTTTTCATTCAAGTGAAGTGGAGTATGTTTCAATATGACATTAAATTTGTCTAATCTGTCCATCTCCATGGAACTTTGCATAATATGTGTTGTTCAAGAGGTAATATATAATATTTAATATATAATATATAAAAAAATAAAACACACACACACACGCGTGCACACACACACTTTTGCAAGCATCAACTTGTAAGGGTACTCCAACAGTGTCTTCTCCCTCAACTATGGAGACTATCTGACTGTTTTTGGTAGCCATGTTTTTTAGACTTTTGGGTCTACTGCAGTCATCTTCTTCAGACTGGCTCCTTCTTTCTCCGTTGTGAACAGACTCCTTATTGAAAGCCTTGCCTTCTCTTGGGAGGTCAGAGGATATTCAATTCAATCCAACTTCTGTTTCTTCTGGAGATTCCGGAGATTCCCGTAGGCTGCAAGCATTTGTAGAAAACACCATAATCTCTGTATCTCGAGCGGTCTTTGGTGGACTTCTCAGATCCGCAAAATAAAACCTCACCTGGAGATTTAGTGATACATTTGTTGGTGTTGCTACCACTAGTAGATTCAGTTAAGATGGAAGGACTTGCTATGAAAACAATGTTGTCCTGCAAATCCCATTTTTTGCCATCTGATAGCTGACTGGTTTAGGAACTTCTAAGTCCATCTCAGCAATTTCTTGGTTGACCTATTGTTGCGATGGTTCAAACTCAGCCTCAGTGACACGCATTAACTCATGAGCCTTCTTCGTGTAGTTGTCACCATCAGGTAAAAGCTCCATGGTGATAAATGGGTGATCGAGAGTTTGCAATGGCATGATCCTCTCCTCCGCGTCCAGTTTAAAGATTTTACTGAGCAGGTTGTGAAACTGTCCATATCTTTCTCCTCCTGATGGGAAACAAACCTTCTAGAACCTTTGATAAGCTGCTCCAGGTTTGTCACTGAAGGCTTGTGAAGTGGCATTTTAGGATTCATCCCAGTGGTCTCCCTAAAGTCCTGCAGAGTTTTCAGTCTCCACTTGGAGTTTTCCAGAACAAAGTACTTTGACGTGTACAAAGCCGCATTCAGAAGCTTCTCTGATGGAACCCCAATGAAATACACAATCTTGCTCAGGAAGTCAAACTCAGAAGAAGCAATGAAATCTGTGCTACAGACAAACCAGTGAAGGAGACAGCAAGCCAGACCCCACATGTCAACAGCCTCCCAAAGTGAAAGACCCAAAGTTACTTCTGGAGCACGGTACGAAATTGGCCGCATCAGCTGTCCAGTTAGTACTTGTCCTGAGTACATAGCCAATCCAAAGTCTATTAACTTAACTTTGAATGGCCTCTCCTTTTGGTTGACCAGTATAATGTTATCTGGTTTAATGTCTGTGTGCATTACACCAACACAGCGTAGACAGCGAAGAGCTATCAAGAGCTGCTTCGCCATTGGTCGTATTTGGCTCGGCGTGAAACTCCTCATCCTTTGCCAGAGATTGTACACACTTACATCTAGCATCTCAAATGCAAGACACCCACAGCCATCATAGTCAAAACAGTCAACCAGTTTGACCAGATTGAAGCTGTCTGGGTGTAGCTCCTCCTTAATGTAACTCAACATCTCCAACTCCCTGTGGAAATTTCTGGAGAATGTTCCATCATCTTTGAGGCATTTTAAAGTGACAAGTTCCCCTGTCACTTGCTCACGGCACTTGGTAACAGTACCGTACCCGCCCTCTCTGATGATTCCCAAAACCTCGTATTTGGTTTTGGGGTTGGTTTGCCGGAAACCGGTGAAGTTCATTGCCAAAGACATGTTGCGATAGTGGTGATTCATGAGCTCTGCTTGAGTGTGTGCGTTCACTGGCTGCATCTGGGTTGAAATAGCCTTTAAATACTGTGTGTTTCTAGAACAGGACTGAAAACTCCATGGCAAGGATGATTCCAAAATGGAGTCACGTAACCACATTCTATCCGTTTATGCATATGGAATGAAATGATTAACAAAAATGCAAAAGTAGAGCAAATGTAGAGCGGACCAATCACAGCCCTTACTGTCTGCGTTGCTTCCCCTTGTTGTCTGTGTAGTTTCAAAGCATAATTAGAACATTTTGAAGGTGCACATCGGTCGACACAAATGCACTGCAGAGGGGGTTCACGGTGACTCAGACAATTTTATTTAATTTTTTAATGTATATAGATTATCTAACTTAGTTAACCCTAATCCTTCCCCTATGAGGAGAGGTGGAGCTGGTTGTGGTACTAGAAGTTGTGATTACAAATAATAAAAGAATCCAGCACAACTTCAATCATTGCAAAAAGTTAATTTTTTATATGCAGTGTAATAAATTTTGCATGAAGAAGACCACACAGCCATAACATTAATAATACATTTTTTGTAAGGATTGATTCTTTCTGTTTCTTGTTTAAATTTTGTTGTGTTCCTCCCGTTCATCCAGTGCATCTGTCTGTACACTGACGTGTGACTTCTACTGCTCCTTTTTCCTGTTCAGAGGCTGTGATTACACACGAGTGACAGGAAAGGGAAATGGTCACATTTATTCAGCTCTTTTCTACCTCAAAAACTTCACAAGGAACCCCCTGTCACACACAGATTTAAACACCAGTGTATGCAGACACTGGAGGCAAGGCGTGTCTCCCCCAAGGACACAGCAACAATATCAACAACAATATGCATATGAAAAAGAGGTGGAACTGAACCACCAACCTGTGAGTCCAGTAGTCAAATTAATCAAATTGATCATGACAAAACAGGTGTAGGGCTAGGTTTGATGAAAAACAAGACTTTTTTTTTTTTTTTAAATAAAGAGTTTCTTCAGTAAATGCTTCAATTCCAGAAGGATAATTTTCAACTTCCACACATTTCCTGACATGGATCAAAGCGCTTTAGTTCTGTCTGCTCTGAGTTTCCTCTCCAGTGATCTCCAGGGAAACTGTGACAGGTGAGTCCTCTGCACTACTGACCACTGCTGACCGCTCATACCTCCACTCAGCCCCTCCGCTCAGCCTCTCCACTTTTATTACACCTGTTTGGCTCAGAGCTCTTGGAGAACAGGCTCAGGACCAATCTAATGACTAAACAGACTAAAACTCTTCTGATTGTTAAAGGTGCACTGTGTAACTTGGTTGATTGTATGGGTATGTCATTGCTCCACCTGGAATATTCCATAGTATGACATTAAACCTTACATTTATTCAATTACAGGTGGTTTTATAGCTCAAAAAATGCATAGAAAAATAATCATTCTGACTGTGAGCG